AATAACCATTTCCCTGAAAAACTATGTATTAATACCACTTAGCATAATGAATATTTAAAATGATACTGCAGTAAAGAATATAAATTCACCTGTCTTTCCTCTTCTTAGCAGTGACTGTTAATAAACAGCTTTATAGCTACTATATTTAAATGCAATTAGTTCCATATATTTCCAGCTTAATAAGAAATAATACATATTCATTTCTGCTCATTAACAGTCAGTATATAACTCTTAGCTAATGAACATTCAATTATGTTCTCTGAATACATTGTGGGATAAATTCTCTTTTTGTTGCTCATATCAGTTCACTTCAATTCAGTTGCAGCTAATTAAAATTCTTTTGCCTCATGTAGACAAACCTGGGGTTTTTGGAGTCCCTGGAGACTTTTTTAGGAGTTCTGTTTTATCTTTATGTACAGTCAGCTCCCTAATTAATGCTTTAAATAGGGTAAACTCTACTGAGGCTCCTGGGTTCACTTCAAAGGAAAAAAAAAAAAAACCCAACTGGTAATTTTATATCTCATTCTCACACAAATCACTGGAGTCTCTAGTTTTCTTGTAAATCTACTTCTTTCCTTTTGTTTTCAGGTGAATTGAATAATCAGTGAAGGTGCCAGTTTGAGAGCACTGGGAGCTGGAGATGCCCTATCATCAGTTGAGACCTTTCCTTACCCAGAGGAACAGAAGTGAAATTCTTGTCAAGTCTAGTTCTGCAGCCAGCTCAGGTGAGGAAGGAGGAATCTCCAAGGGTACATACCCAGTGGACTCCCTGAGATAATACCACCTCCATTTTCACTCAGCATCAGCAAGAGTCAATGCTATTTTCCCCTAAATTGTTATCAGAGCTGCTTCAGCAGTCTATCTGCCTGTCTAGGACCAAAATTCCAACCAACTAACACCACACAAGGTGAGCATCTACTGAAGTGTCTCCCTTTGCAGAGGTCATTAGTAGGTATGACTTGCTAAAGGAAGTGATTAGGTTCTTGCCTCTGATTTATTTGACCTATGTCCATTAAGCATTGCAAAGAGAAGGGAATTCAGCAGAAGAAGCTTCAGGGAACTTTCAGCAAGAAATTTTCCTCTTTGGTGTAGGACGCCAGGATTCTTTTACCTGCACTTAAGGGATGGCACGGATAACACACTGGGGACAGCAACCTCCCGTGACAAAAACTGCTAGAAAAAACTCTCAAATTGAACAAAGCATTTGAAAACTTACCAAGCAAACACTGTGAAACTTATGTGTATCAATAAAAGGAATATAACAAAAACACTGAAAGTCTAACATTTAGGGAAGAAGGGACAGAGGCAGAGAAACAAATGTCTGTAAGAGAAAACATCTAGGAATACCCAAGAGAAAGATTAGCTTTAGGGGTGTTTCAATTCTATTTAACATTAAATGAAAACTCCAAAATAGATCTATCTGAGCACCTGCCTTAGAAGAAAAGAAAAGGTATATCTGAGTTTGTGTAGACATGCATGCCCCCATGTGTGCCTGCTTGGACGGGTGCATGCATGCAAGTCAGCACCTCATCCACTCCCCAAGTGCCTGAGCACTGTGAAATGAGCAGTCCAGAACTGCTTTCCTTGCTTGAAGTCTCACTAAACCAGTGAATTCTACTGAGAGACATGCAGAGCTGTATTCCCAGGAGACTGAAGGTGATTGACAGAACCCTAAGGAGTTTCACACCCTGTGTTATCCAGCCTGCCACAGCGCCATTTACGTGGCATGAGACTGAGGTTGTATGGTGCACAAAGACCTTTGAGTACACACAGCTGACCAGGATAACACTGGAAGACTGTCCCAGGTGGTGAAAGACAAACTCCATGTGACTTGTGTCACACTTTTTGGCTGCCCTGATCGCTGCAGAGAACATGCTGCCAGCTGGGCACAGATGGGCACGTGGAAGGCATTAGCAGGCATTCCTCCAGGAGGGGGCACAAACTCAACCAGCATTAGGGCACCATGGCCTAGACAGCACGCAAGCAAGAAAGCAAACAAGAGAGAAAGAAAGCCAGAAAGCAAACCAGAAAACAAGAAAGAAAGCAAGAAAGCAATCAAGCAAGTTGTTGAATTGAGAACAGAAACACACAGCCATCTACTGCTGTCCTCATACACATTTCTCACAAGTAGTTCATATTTAGTACCAAAGAAAGAAAACAGAAAATCAGAATGGCACTTTGCATGAAGAAGTTTTTTAGCTAGTCCTTGAGAGGAGGTGTTTTTCTTACAAGCAGTGAACAGATGCTCCCCAACTGCTGTGTGCAGCAGTGTTACACAGCCAGGCCAGGAGATGGCAGATTTTTGTCAGACAACAGCAGGGAGAAGGTCAAAAGCAGGTTTTCAATTTCTGTATCAAAAATGTCTTTGTACATGTGTTTTTATAAAGGTAAAACAACAGCCCTGATCAATAGAATTAAACAGACAAATGTTTAAAAGGGAACCTTCTTTTAGCCTCTGGTTCAGACTAGGAATTACTGACAGAAGAGTAAAAAAAAAGTTTGCAAATATTTCATATTCTGTAGTATATGCTTTTGCCTACCACACATTTTATGATAAGAAGAAAAGTTAGAGTATATTTTTACAAAAATGAGGAAGAGAGCAAACTGTCCCAAAGTCAGCTACAATAAGATAGATATCTTAGTCAATTTTAGACTGTATATATACAATTTATATTAAACGCTATAAAGCTGCATACACTTAAAGAGAAGAGCTGTGTCTGTTTATGAGAGAGAAAAACTCCTGTCTTACACTAGGGAAATGTGTAGTGGGTTTTCATGTATCACTAATATGATTCATTTACATGAAGTTACACCTGCTCCAAAGCCACTTTTCTACAGTTTCTAGGCAGAATCAAGGTATAGGGTAAACTTCTCAGGAAAAACATATGCTGTGCTAGTGACCTGCAGAACTAAAGCTGTAGTTTCAACCAAGAAAAATAATGAGCAGCAAGCTAATGCTACTTGTTCCATTGATATCCATCTTTAGCACCATATAAAGCTTTTGGTGAAATATTCCAGATATCAGTTTTGCACAAGCTTGGTGGTGTTTTATGTTAGCAGTCCAATTGATCAAGATTCAATTTACCATAGATTCAGAGAAAAAAAAAGGAATTATTATTCAAAAGAGATGCTAACCCTAATTTAGCCAAAGAATTAAATATGATCGCACCTTCTCATGTGTTCTGAACAATAAAGGTTTTTTTGCACTGTGCTTGTCTTTTGGTACTTGTGATGTTAAGCATTTCAAATTGTGCTATAGCTGATCAGCCTTAGAAAAGTAGAAATTTTATAATCAATATTATTGTTTTTCTTAAATGTACAAGTCACCAGAAGCACTAATCTAGATATGAAAAGCATCATGTCTGCAAGGCCACAGTGTGAGTCACAGGATCAGGCTAGTGGCAAAAAAAAAAATTAAAAAAATAAAAGCAGACACTATGATATAGTGATATAATAATATAATTTGTCAGACATAAATTAATCCTGCCCACCCAGTTGCACTGGTCAGGCCTCCTAGCATTAGTATTTCCTGTTTGGATACTCAAGAAAGATGTGAAGAAATGCCAGAGGAAAGCTTTAAGAATGCTCAGATATGTAGAAACTATCAACTGGGAGGGAAAATCTGAAAACATTAGTCTGGTGAAAGCGTAAGAGAATTATAACAGTATACAAGTGTACAAAAACTAGCTGCAGAGAGGAAAGGGACCAGTTCTTGCATCCATCTGAGGGTAGATATCATCTGCAATCAGAGAGATTATTCTCAGATACAGAAAAAATAATTTCAAGACATTACCAGAGAAGTGCTGGAACGGATCAGTTAGGGAAGTCATGGGCTTTTAAAAAGAGCTTGTAAAATCATCTGCCAAGAGTGATGGAGGTAGAATTGATCTTTCTCCTCTGGAGTTCCCCCCAGCTTTACTTTCTGTGACAATTGTGCTGATCCAGTTCCTTCACAGCTCTCAGCTTTTTCAGAAGACAATGCTGGTTTCAAGGACTGACAACCGCAGGGAAATCCTGGAAACCAGCCAAGGGAAATCCTACACTCATCGAGCTTCCATTATAGGCAGGCTTCAGTTAGCCCAAATATATCATTATGACTACTCCTTAAGCACCTGCAGTTGCAAAACACAAATAATTATTTTATAATAATAAAGTTTTGTGAATGCTGATGGTATCTTTGTGGAAGCAGAGACGTCAAAGTGGGAACTGAACCATGAGATGTTTATAATTAGTTTCATTACAGCAACATGAACAGTCTGGCGACATACAGACAACTGTTATGCCAGGAAGTACCAACATTTTCATGTGAAGGAGAAACTGGAAAAAGCACCATAGCAAAACGAAGTGTTTGAACCAATGTCATACAAGAGGCCAGCGGCCTGAGCCCAGCGCTCCCTGCACAGACAGACAGGCGGCTCAGCCCCACCACTGGAGTGGATTCCTGTGAGAACCCAAAAGCCTGCTTCCTAAATGTGGTCAGCGTGGAACTTCCTCTGGGGTGAAACCAGCAGCAGCCAGGCAGGCCGGCAGAAGGTGCCGGAGGACGGAGCTGTACCGCACCCGGCCCTGCAGAGCCGCTCCTGGCGCATCCCTCAGGGCGCACCAGCGGGAAGGGATCCCGCGGGCATCCCGCACGCCGAGAAAGGCTGCGGCGCATCTGCAGACCACACGTGCTCAAGAACCAGAATCACTGTACCAGCCTTAGCAGCGGTGAAAATGCACCACTGCCCTAGAAACGACCTCTGCCGTGGGCCACGGCCGCGCCGGCCCTTCTCCTCTCCTCTCCCAGCTAATGGCCCGCGTTGCTCCAGTGCTTACGAGCATCGCCCTGTGATCGCACCCGGCAAGCGCGGCTCAGCTGCGGAGCCTGCAGCGCACGGCGCGGGGCGGGCACGGCAGGGCACGGCAGGGCTGCGGGGACACGGACCCCGGCGCGGGACAGGGCACGGCAGGGCTGCGGGTACACTGACCCCGGCACGGGGCAGGCACGGGCAGGGAACGATGGCAGGGCTGCGGGTACACTGACCCCGGCACGGGGCAGGCACGGGCAGGGAACGATGGCAGGGCTGCGGGTACACGGACCCCGGCGCGGGGCAGGGCACTGCCGGGGCTACGGGGACACAGACCGCGGCGCTGCCCCCGCCCGCCCTCACCTGCCCGAGGCGGGGCTCCCGCGGTGGGCAGGGCCGTCCGGAGCCGCTGGCCCCGGGCTCCGCCGCCGGCTCATGCGCAGCCGCCGGGGCTGGCAGTGGCGATGGCGCCGCGGGTGTTGCCGCTGCCCAGGCAGCAGTCCTTCAACCCGCCCACCGTCCTCAACCCCTTCGTGCACCCGGGCCGCCTCAGCGCCGGCGACAAGCTGCGGGTAAGGCTGGGAGGTGGGCGGGAGAGGCCGCCGGGGCCGGGCCGCGCTGCCCCGGGCTGGGATGCGCTCGGGAGCGCGGCGGGCACGGCACCCCCGGGCGCGGCTCAGCCCGGGCACGGCTCTGAACCAGAGCTCCGTGCCTTCGGGCCTCCGCGGGGCTGTCAGAGGTCAGGGCTGGGGCCACCGGTCGCTTTCGAGCCCCCTTGCCAGGGCAGAGCGCGGTGCGAGCGATCGAGGTTTGAAAGTGCCGCCGGCAGCCGGGGCTGCGGGGCCCGGCCTGCCCAGCACCGCCCGTGCCCAGCACCGCCCGTGCCCCGCGGCGCGCCCGCAGGGCAGCGGAGCAGCCCCGGCTCCGGCTCACATCTACAGCTCCCGGCTCTGCCGGGAACGAGTGGCTGCTAGTGACAACATTTCCTTCCCTGTACGGCATAGTTTGCTTCCTGATCTAACCTAGAGACCAGATACGCGGGGAAGTTATGTAAACTTCCAAAGATGCAAAGGGTGATCGGCATAAAAAAGTCACTGTTCTTGAAATTAAGTTCTTCAGCCTTTCAGAGTCCTCAAGCTGCATGCTTGCTCAATGCATACACAGGGGCTTACTGACTTCAAACTTAAAACTTTAAACACAAGATTCAAAACAAGCTTTTGGAAATATTTGTGCAATCATTGCAGATAACACATCATCCCTAGAGAAAACAGTGCTCCTGTTTCAATAATTAAATACTACCCATCAGTCAGTTGTCAGGTGCCTCAGCTTTAGAGTTGTCAGTTTCTCTCTTACATGAAAAGTTAAAGCAGAAGATAACTTTTTCAGTCATGCTGTTTCAGATGATTAACTGGCTTTAGGCTGACTTTAAGCCTGGGTTGGGAAGGGGGGAGTGAATCTCTTGGCTCCATGTCGCAGGGTGTACAAGAAAAAATGGTACCCCATATTCCAGTGGGTCACTGACTGGTGTCACTGGGTGAATTGAATCAGGCCTCTGAGCTGAGTGCTATCCCAGTATGACAAGCACACACACTAGACTTAGAGGATACTCATACAACTAAAAAATCTTTGATTCTTAAAAACATTCTTTAAAAATTAGCTGATAAACCAAACATGAATATATGATTGAGGAAAATGAGGATATCAGTGTGTGGGTGAAATTACAGCATTTTCTGCTGATGGTTATAAATATCTGAAGCTGACATATAACTAAATATTTTCTGTTTCATATAGATCTTTGTCAAGTTATAAAAAATGTTTGCCCTGAAGATAGCGAGATAGAGGAAATGTGAGAAACCTGGAAAACAATTTCAAGTCTTTTATCTCCTATGTTTTACTAGCAGCGTGGAACACATTTCAAGTGCATCTGGATCAGTAGCTTTAGGCATGAACCCTGAAGAAAACAGTTTCTTAATGAGGTTCCAGAAATGAACAGCTTTCTGTGCTGCCTGTCCTTTCTGGAGGGTGCACAGACTACTTTCAAAAGCTTGCATTTTTAAGTTACTCCATGAAGCACCTGGAAGGAAAAGCATGCATCTGGGTTAGGGCCTGGTGGCTGTGAGCTGAGGAGCAAAACAGTCACAGAATTGCAAAGCAGAGAAACACACAAGAGAGAACCTCTTTTGTGTTGTGGTTTGCTCCCTTCTGTTCTTTTCCCCCTGTGGTCATAAGGACTGGGATACTTCCTGCTGATTGCTTCATCCTGTGAACCTCTGCTCCTCTCCTGCTCAGCACTGCCCGCCAGACCTGCTGGGAATCAAGGCCTTACCAGGCAGTGTTGCTATAAACTCCAGAAAAGGGAAGTCTCTCTTCTCTTTCCATTCACATCAAGTGTAGTGTTTCTCCATTCTTGCATGTTAAGGATAGTTTTGTTATGTCTCCCCATTCTGTACTATTCCTTTAACATACACCAATACAAACATACAATTTCAAAACCCTCTGGGAGTCCACGGCAGGATTTCCATATGTTGGTGACCTTGCATGTAAAGGGTGCTGTGTACTTGATGAATGGAGCTTGAAAATGAGACAGGGTAGCTGTTTGCATTTAATTCAGCTTCAAATATAAAGACTGCCAGACTGAAAAGTGAGTGAGAAGATTTTACAATTTCTTGCTAGTCTTTTCTTATAGTTTACAACCCACCCTTTATTTGTCATTCTTTAGAATGTGCAAAGCAAGGATCAGCTGGGCTGTGCTAAACATCTTCATGTGCCAAAAGATTTTGAAACAGTTGTCAAATACTTCTGGTTTCCATCCTCTGACTGAAGTTGGCTGCAATTCATTTTTCCTGGATTTTAATACTTATGCTCCTGATTGCTCACTTGCTGTCCTAACTTCTGAACTGCAAATGTAAAGCATGAATTCTGGTAAAGTCATTACTGGCTTCCAACTTATTCAGAAGAGATGCTCAGTGGATTTTTGCAGTGGTGAAATATGTAATACTACAATCAGCATGCTAAAAGCAGTATTTTTGGAAGCAAGCAGCTGGACTACCTGGCAGAGCTGAGGCATCCTCTGGATGCTCATGGAACACTGTCTTGCCCTGTGTGTATTGCTGGGGGACAGTCCATCTGATCACAGCTTCAGGTGTTAAAGTATTTCAGTAGGAGCTGGGCTTCACTCTGGTCCCCAGCCTGCTCTGCTGCTGCTTCTGAGATAATTTGACAGCAGCGACAGTTGAACAAAATTTTATATGGAATTATGTGGCTTTCTGATAGACCTGCTTTTCCACTTTAAAGGTTCCTGCCATCAGTGGAGGTATAATCCCATGTATTGATCAAAGATCAATCAGCTATGGGAGCGGGACCTGCACTGCCAGGACTGCTGCAGTGACAGGACGTGCAGTTATTGCAGACACAGTAAACAGAAAGTACATGGGTGATTCAGTATGTGGGAAAAGGTTCTCTGGATGACTCAGAATAATTCTATCTTGGTGATTACTGCACAGAAGCTGAAATGGCTCTGATGCTACTTAGTAGTAGTAACTACACTTTGTATTTTTCTCCTATCCTTTCCCTTTTCTTGTCTACCTTGACCTTCCTCTTTTCTGTCCTTTTCTTACCCTACTCTGCAGCTGATGGAGCAGAAACCAACTCTGCCTCATTACACAGTGACCTAGAAAGTCAATAGCTTGCATCAGCAAATCAGTACCACCTGTGCATCTGCCTAAAATAGAGTAATGAATTTATTAAAGTTTTGAAGAAGGGATTGTTTTGCTTTTGCTATTGCATCCTTTATCTTTCATTTTAGGTCGGTACATATATATTCTTTTTTCATGAAGAAAAACATTATTTTAAGTCAAACTACACTGATTTATGCTTTTGCTGCCCATTTTGGATAACTGAATGCAGCTGAAATGTTGAACTGGACTATAGATCATAGTAAAAAAGGATGCATATAGAGAAAAAAAAAAACAAATCTAATTTTGGGAGACAAGGGAGGAGTCTTTGTTGGTTTATCTTCCTAACTGACTTTTTCAGATTTGCCACAACTGGCACCAGAGTGAGTGGGAGCTATAGATCTCTAGGGTCAAACCTGTCATGCTCATTTCTGTGGTCCAGAGTGGTCCTTTACCTGTTGTCCATAAAGTTATGGTTGAAATTCCATAGCTAGTTACACAGAAATGTTAAATAAAAGAAAGAAATAATCAGACCTAAATGTTCAGATCTCTCCCGGAAACGCACTGTATGGCAGTGCTTGCAGAACACAAACATCAACACAGTGTACCTGCTTATCGTGCTCATCTTAATTTACTCTGTGTATCCACTGTCATGTTTGGTCTGTTGCCACTGTGCCTGTGGTAACACAGAAGCGAGTCCTGAAGGCCCCAAATTCATCTTAATCCTCATCAGTGTCAGAGGGTTTAGAGCCAGGTGGCAGAGCCTCTCCTGAATGGTGACAAGGGGAGGGTAAGAGGACATTACATGAAGATGGAAGGGATTTGGTGGGAGGGAAAGGACTGTGTTGGTGGAAGGAAAATTAGAAGCAACTGACTGTATCAAAAAATTGGATAAAGTATACACTAAGGTGCTTATTTTCAAATATACCACACTTGCTCCTTTTTAAAGAAAAGAGGTAAGTTAAAATCCACTGTGATGTTAATAATCACAGCTCTAGGAGATTGCAAACTATTTTCTGACTTACAAAATGCCTTGCTTTTTCTGTACAGTAAGAGGCCATTGTTAAAGAGCTGACTAGAAAAGTTGATTTTGAGAGAGGAACACTGTTGTTCAGTTGAAGATTTTCCTAAAGTATAAAACGTAGTAAGCTCACAAGAATAAGTTAAACTCCCTTAACTCTCCTTCAGTAACTTCTCCCATACACTTGAACTGGTGGAGATGTCAGTGTGTGACACACTCAGATAAGTTTTGGGGGACTTGAAGAAACAGCCCAAATAAATTTTTAAAAATCACTATTACAGTTCTTTTTGGGATATGATTTGTTTTTTGTGTACGCAAACTGGTCCTCATCAGTGAGTGGCAGCAGAGCTGGATTAGTGCCAAAGGGAGTTGAACCCTTTACTGGTTTCCCAGGAGTGCTGGGCTCTGACCTGCTCACACAGCTCACCTGCCTCTCAGCCCCAGCCTTGCTCAATCTGCACAGTGCTTGTTGCACCATAAAGCCAACCTTCAGGATACAGTTTCTAACCTAATGTGCTGGGGTAAGACAATTAAGAATTTCTTCCTGCCCCGCCCTGCACCAGAGCTGCCTGTGGTGCAGCATGGTGCCAACACACCTGTTTCCTGGAGCTATGCATGAAAATAGGCAAGCTGAAGATTCCTTCGGGAGGGCTGGGGATGATGTTTGAGGATTATTTGCAATCAGGGCAACTAAAACCTTGTTTTGTTAAAGTCCCAGCTGATGGAAATGACATTGTGTTGTGTGTGCACAGCTCCCTGGAGCAGTAGTGAGGACCACTTGCAGCAGTATTGTGACTCAACACAAGATTTGTCATTTGAAAGGGCAAGAATACAATTAGTCATCTTAAGGATCCCACTTGACTTCTAGATAGGCAGCTAGTGATAGAAAGCTCTGGAGTGGAGTGATGTGTCAGCTGGGCAAACTCATCTGAGCTGGTTGTGAGCTGCAGATCAGGGCCAAATATAAACTGGAGCCAGCAAACTTAGTTTGCCCTTTGTGTCTAGCTACATCCAAGCCAAAAATGTAAATACTCAGATACTCCAGCTCTTCCTGGAATGGGAGCTCAGAAGTGAAAATGAAATACCATTAATTACTTCCCATAAGAGCACTGGAATCATTAAAGCTTTCCTTACTAAATCACAAAGCAATAATGGTAGTACTTTAAAATTCTTGTAAAGGAACTACACAGATAACAGTCATTTCTGTGGATACCATTTCTTAAGATTTTTCACCTCTTTGTTTCAGATTGCTCTCCAGGGGATTATTTTGCTTCCCCTCCGTGTCATATGCATCACGTTCATTTTACTGCTAGCTTGGCTCTCTGCGTCAATTGCAACTTTCTGTCAGCCTGGAAGAGGATTTCTGCCGCTGGAAGGATGGAGAAGGTGAAAAAGTGACCCATATTTGTGAAAGCTAAGCTTTTTTTTCCTTAATAAGACAAAGCCAGGGTCTAAAGATTTTTTTTCCTTTCACTCCTCCTTTTAATTAAAGAGGATTCCTCAGTTCTTACCTGTTTATATGAAGCAAATTCTTAATGAATGTATTTTACAAAAATAGTGGACCTTTTTAAGTAGGTAGATTTTCAGTTGTCTTGAGGTGAAAAAAAAAAATGTATAAAAACATTTATAGACTATCTGTAAGCCAGGACTTCAGTAATAATCCTAACAGGAATATTTGAGAAGAGAAATTCATTAAGCAAGTATTTTGTAACGTGACATAGGCTGAGCTCCTGTGTAGCCTTGGTAATTTCTGCTGGGCTATGATTCTATGTCAAAATTAGCTTTGACAGCTCCTCTCAGCTGCACTGCCCTTGAAGTGGTATTTCACAGCTGCTTCTGTGGGTTCTGGGTTTCAGTTGCTCACTTCTGACCTCAAAGTACTGCAGTTCCCTTCTAGCCACGGTGCACTGCAGCTGCAGGAGGAGGAGGAGACACAGGAGGTGAATTCTAGCAAGACCAGAAGGTTAGGGAGAGTCCCATGAAAGGACTGTGTCCTCTCCTGTGGGAACATGTTCCAGTAAAGAAACATTGTCATTTAATCTTATTTTAAAATGACAGTTAAAAAGCAGTATCGGTTACATAAATTCTTATGGAAAGGACACTAAATCTGCTAATTACCCCACTCAAAACAGTGTTATGGTACAATGCCATGAGAAATAGTGTGCCTGGGAAGAGTCTGTACACTGCCTTATCTTCCATGAGGAAAAGGTGATGTCCCCTTCCCTGCTTCCCCTTCAGCCCTACATTCTGCTGGTGAGTAGCATTGCTACCCTGTATGGGGCCCCATTGCTGATTAGAGCTAGGAAATCTGTTAGGGGCTTTTCTTTTCAAGTACAAAATAAAAACTGTAAGCTGGACAAGATTTTTGTTTCTTTTTACAAGGAGGATGATCCAGACAACCCTGTCCAGCCTGACTCGTACGGCGTACTTCGTGATGGGATTCCAGGTTAAAGTGAAAGGGAAGGTAGCGAGTCTGCCAGAAGCACCAATCTTTGTTGCAGCTCCTCATTCAAGCTTTTTTGATGGCATTATTTGTGCCCTGACTGGAATGCCATCAATAGTGTCTAGAGCAGAGAATTTGTCAACTCCAGTATTTGGCAGTAAGTATTTATGAAAAAAACCTGAAAGTTACAAGTTAACAACTTGACATTGGGCCAAAAATTTTATCTCCTAAAGTGATTTAAGGGCAGACTTTTAAGCTCTATCTTCCAAAGATACTGACAAATTATTTCCAGTGAAATTCCTATGACACATTATCTTTTTGAATTTGTAAAAATGCCTAGAAATTACGCTGTTTCTTTTCAGGTATGAAATACAATATCATTTTGAACTTCTTTCATACTGAAAGCATGTTTTGCAGCTGCTCAGGCTGGAAACTTTTTCTTTCATTCTCCCAGTAGTACCTCAAAAAATCTGTTCCACTGCTGTCTTTTAACAGTGTAGCCCACAAATGTGGGTGAAGGTTATTTCAAAACAGGCCCAAACTACAGGAGTCTGGAAAATACCATATTTATAAGATTAATCTTGCAGGCACTGTTATGGTTTTTTTTTAATGGGAGCAAGACCAGGAAAGAATAAAAGAGGAGTTACTCAAAAAGGAAATGCAGGGAATGGAAAAGATCAGATGAGTCATGCTTCTATTATTTTCCCCTCCTTCTGGCACAAAAAGAATCCTCATTTGCATTATTGCTAGAATCAGCTGTAGACTTTCTGCTGGCTGTACAATAACCCAGAACTAAACACAGTAGGCAACATAGCAAAGTGTTTTTGTGGAAAAGAAATGGACAGAGAATATATTGATTTTAGCTTAAAAGCACAGGATGGGGACAGAGAAGATAATTCTTGGTCAGATTTCTCATCACAAAGGTCCACACATTCTGATGTAGACTTCTGATTAAATTAGGGGGTTTTTTTCTGTAATTTACATTGAAGCTGTGCATGCTTTGTAACAGAAAAGGGAAGGCTAAAACTACATTTTAGGTGCAGTCTGCCTGACCTAGGCCTGAGTATGGCCTGTGAGCAGACCCAGTCAGGTTGCTCTTTTGAATTGTGTGGAAGTGCTTAGTGAAAAATAGCAGCAATATTATTAGAATGTGTTTGGGTGAATTTTGCATATCTGCTGTAAGGCTCCTCAGCTGGCAGGCTGGGTATGTCTTCTGCATCTTATTTTCCATTTTGCAGGAAGAGAATAACAACACTCTTATCAATTTAGTCTGGAAGTTGTTTGTGTGGAGTCTGTCTCCTAGTATATAAATAACATGTTTTTGCTATAAGGAAACGTTGAACCCATGTGTTTTCTAGGCACTAGTATAAGGCAATTTTTTTATCTGTTTCACAGCAATTTTAAGATCCCTTCAGCCTGTAGCAGTTTCTCGTCAGGACCCTGATTCACGGAAGAACACGGTTGCTGAGATAACTCGGCGGGCGTTGTCGAAAGGCCAGTGGCCACAGGTAATAAAAACACCACTAACTCCTCTTCTGTCTTGTATTCCTATTCCTTATTCATTGTGCATCACAAGTGACCAGCTGGATAGGATTCTTAAAATGCACAGAAATGAAGTCAGCTCTCAGGTGTATGACTGGGTTAAGAAGGGAAGAATCTGGTGTCCGGAAGGAGTTTTGTTGTGACAAATGGATCAGTTAAATCCAACCAGTACCAATTGCTGTTGCAAATGCAGATGCTCTTGACTTTTTTTTTCCCCTTTTCGAGTCTTAATATGCTGCCTTCAGTGTAGCAAGTGAATTGCACTGGTATGTGTGGGTCAGTAGTCTGAAGCTAGACCACAGAGCTGTGCTCACACCAGGTGGAGGATGAGCAGTTGATGAGATGGGCAACCCAGACTGTCCAAGATCAGTACAAGCAGTACTTTAGCCCAAAACTTCAGTTTCTCACATAAAGTATAGACGAGGTGGAGCTCTGTTCATTTTTCAGGTTAATAATGCACTAAACCCAAGATTTTTAATTGATCAGAATGGTGGAAGCATGATCATCATTGACATGGAAGCAATAGTTGTTGCTTCTGCAGTGTGTCCCATGGTCATTCCTCAGCAGCAAGCTGCTGTTCTGCCTCCAGTCCTGGGTGGCTTTCCATCTGGAAGAGCTGATGGGGCAGGGGCTGATCACGAGGGAGGAAAGTGTTGAGGCAGCAGCTCTGCTGCATATATGAAAAGCAGAGGCCTGGGATGGAAATCCACATCCTTTGGAAGAAGAAAGACTGGGAATGCATCTACTAACATCTCATTTGGGAGTGCCTTTCTGCTTTCTTCTTGTTGCATTAACTCTGGACTCACATTGCCTTCAGATACTATGAATACAATGTCATTGCCATGCTGCTGGACAAATCCAGTCAGTGATAATAGAAGACCTTTCTCCAAACACCTCCTGCGCAGATTTTTGTATAAATTCATGCTTTGTCTTTTGAATTACCTCTTGACTTGTTTTCTTGGGGGTTAATTTACTTGAAATAAGAACATAGTGACTGGTTCAGTAGCTGAATTTACAAGGTCTCTTTAGTCATAGTTGGATACTCCCTAAATGACTAAGAAAAATGCATTTTCCTTCACTTTTGTTCCACTAAGTGGCTTTTGAGGAAAATTAAGAGACAAGTGAAGATAGTAGACTTCAGTAGGAGGTATCTGTGACAGCTAGACCTGCTGTTTACTGCTCTACTTTCTGAACAGTCTCTAGAATCAGACCATTTAAGTAGGGAAGACCAACACTTGCCTTTTTTTTTTTTTGTAATGGCATTATTTACATATTTCATATATTTTTACTTCATAAGTACCTTTCTAAAAGCTTTTTTAACATTTAGGGTACTTTGACTCATAAATTTATTTTTCTAAGCTGCTCTAAATAATTTTAGGGCCTCCATTATTTTTTGAAATCTGACAGTTAAACATGCCAAATTTTTGTAATACTGGGCTTACAGACTAACCTGGTGCTTATGACTTGCTAAACTGTTTTAGATGAATTCCCTGGTAGACCTGATCTCTGCTGAAAGCAGCATGGGGAGGAAAGGGAAATGGGCTCCTGCACCAGTGCTGCACTTGGGATAAAACCTAGATATATATTGTGGCATAAATAGATTATGAGTCAAGTAATCTGGGAATCTCCAAGACTGAGTCAGCAGTACAACTGAGGGTGTCACTGGGTGATTCCTAGTCCTGTGCCCTGGCCACACATTCTGATTACAGGATGTGTCACGGAGGACTGGCTGTGACTTGCTGTGTGCAGTTGCCTCTGTCATACCCTTGAACAGTGTGTGTCCCTGGGGTGTGACCTGCTGGGGCCTCTCTCACAGCTAGCCTTGACCTGTTCATTGAGATCCAGACCATTTTGTGCTGGGGTGTTTTTAGAATGCTGCTTATGATCCTGTAGTTTTATAAGAAATACAGGGCTTGTGTTCCATAGGGGGCTGGATTCAGTGTGTCACTCTGCAGCTCACAGTGCACTTCGTGTACTGTCTCAGACACTGATCCAGAAACCTTCTGGCTGCTGGTGTGCATGAGTCACTGGGGTTCAGAGGCTGCTGTGGTGTGTAATGCCTTCAGAGCTCTGCCTCACTGCACATGCCTTCTCTGCCTTTTGCTCTGCTGCTCAAGCTGTGTTCTCATCACAGCTGGCATCTCACTCATGGCATCTTCACCTGTAAATGCCCAAGTACCTCATGCGCTTCCTTTCAGCCCAAACTCCTCTATTTATGCACCCAGCAACTCAATAAGGAACTGCTGTCAGAGGAACAATTCTATTATTACCAACACTAAAATGACAAGTGAAACACTTAAAGTCCTTCTGTACCATATTTCTGAACTGATAAAGGCCTTTCCCCAAAGCTCCTTTCTTGGAAAGCATTGGTTTCCAAATCAAGATGGACCAAGTTAAAAATATAGCGAGCATCCTTCATTAATATGTTTGTTTCCTTTGGAAACAGTAATGATATTCTAATAGAATATCATTAATGTTGTAATAGAGTACAACAGGTCACAGAGGTCAGCCTGTGCATAACAGATACTAAAGTACAATCCTTTTGTGAAATATATGTGTATGTGTATATATTTTTCTCTCTTTAAATCCAAGATACTGATTTTCCCAGAAGGCACCTGCACAAACCGATCCTGCCTGATCACATTTAAACAAGGTGAGAGATTTTATCCTGTTGTTGTTGGAAAAAATATGTGATGCTAATTTGATAGTTGTAGTAAGGACTGAACTTGTGAAGGTACATCATCCACAACTGCACTGTTGTAATCCCTTACTTTATTAAAGTTTCAGAGGTACTAAACCCACTCTTTTATATCAGTCAGCTTACTTCTCTGGTTTGTGCTGTTGTGTGGGATGCAAAATATCTGACAGATACGAGTAGTTAGTTGGGGGATTTTTCTGAGTGCAGTTTTCATCTAATTTATTTACTCAGAAACTCAGCTGTGATTGTTATGAGATAAATGTATGAACTTCCTCACGTGATATTCTTTTATCTCAGCTAACAGTTGGGCTATCTTAGATTCCTGTAAATTTTGCCTTGCAAGACTTAGCAACCAAGTTACAAAATGTCTTTGTGCAGCACTTAGCAAGCCAGGACAACAAATCATTTTTAACAGAGAAACGTTTTTCATTGCACCACTGATTGTTGGATTGTTGTGCTGCACTTCAGTTAAGAAAGGAGAGCAACATGACTTTAACTGTTTTGCAGGGTCTTGGGTAGAAGTGTTAAAAACCATTACTACGTGGCCAGATCTGTATCACTTGTGATGATCAGAACACAGAATGATTCAGGAAATGCTCAAAAGCCTTGTGAGCATCTCATCCTTTGAAATTAATGCCCGCCAGTGGGGAGATAATGCACGGAAAATGAGTTTGAACAGTCCAGGGATCTCAGGCAGCTTTCTCCTTGAGATGGAGCCGAACCCTTTTCTGTCCCAACATCTTGCTGGTTGTGCTGCTGATTTAAAAACAAACAACCAAAACCCAGCCTACAATATACATAAAACCCAAATCAAACAACAAACAAAAAACTGAAGTAGAACACTTCCCATTTTCCTTGTGTTTTTAAAAACATCTCCTTCCAGGTACTGTTGTCTGAAATAAATCACTCAAAGTTCCCAATTGCTGTATCAACTTAGTTGTAACAATTAGTTTTAATTTGTGGCTGCAGGTGCCTTTCTTCCAGGAGTCCCTGTCCAACCTGTGTTACTCCGCTACCCCAACAAGCTGGTGAGCAGAACACTTCTGTTACTAACTAGGAATGCAGAAGGCAAAAGTCTGACTTAAGTGGTACCCACAATAAATACTTTGCATTGTCACTGAAGAATATATTGTCCTGAGCTTTAGCATTGCTAAAGCTAAGCTAAGCAGCCAGGCTTCCCAAGTGTCAGCATGTTGTAGTTGCTACTCTGACTGTGCAAAAATTACTACTGGGCTTCTTAGCTAAAGGGGGGAGACAGGAAAGTGTTGTGGCGGAAGTTGGAAACTTCCTGCAGTGCCACAGAGCCTGTACTTTGAAGTCTAAAATGTACACAACTTCCCTATTAGTCATCATTTTCTGGTTAACCTCAAGATAGCCTTACTGCAAAAGGACTTGTGACGTTTCTGAACAGAAGCAAAGCTGAGCCATGCAGTACATCCAACACCCCTCCTCAGGAGAGCAGCTTTGCAGATGTTCTTTTCATGCTGCATTCCTTGTGCAACTCCACTTTACTCTGCCTGTAAGGCTGGGACCTTTTCAGCTTTTTTTTTAATTACCTGGTCATCCAACAAATCCAGGAAAGACCAAACTTTCACTTCCTAATGTTTTGTTAGGATTAAAAATATAGTTGTTATTGTTATTTGCAAAGACTCCTTTGTGCAATCCTTTTACAAATGAATGTCAGAAGTGATCCACTCACAGGGATTGGTATCGCATTTCACTGATAAGATTTAAAGATCTGCCAGTACACACTGTAAATATAGTGTATAAGAAGTAATAAACACAGGAGAGAGGAAAAAAACCCAAAATACCAAATAAAAAGCATGATAAATTATGCAGAAGTGTTTTTAAAAACTAAATGAGACATATTTATGAGACTGCCTCTCTAAAGGGACTGGTAAGGCCCACTGACAAAGTCTTACCCATTTTTCTTTTCCCTGCTTCTGTTGTTTAGATCAGAGTGAATGATTTACAATATCTAACTAACTATAAATGTTATTCCCAATTGTTTATAAAAGTCTGCCATACTTCCAAATTTTTAAGGCAAGGAATCCTATTTGCCTTAATACCTTTATTTATTTTCACTATAGGCCTATAAAAACATTATCCACTTTTACTAAACTTGTGCCTGTTTTAAATTGTAACTTATCTGCTCACTAGCTTTCATCTGGTTTTGTCATACATTTCTGTGTTTGATTTTTTCCTTAGGATACTGTGACCTGGACATGGCAGGGCTATTCATTGTAAGTTTCTTAATCCTGCTGAAAATTACATACAGAAATTTTTCCCCTGTTGCTAAACAGTCTGCCAAACAGATTCCACTAAGCCAAGACACATGTTCTTCTAGATCTGTTTTTATGAGGGGGAGATACCTGGGGATGATGCTGTCATGCAGTAGATTTCATATCTGGATGGCTAGAGAGAGGGTTAGGAAAGTATTATTTCCAGTTCCACCATTTTTTTTTTTTCAATTTTATCCTGTTTCACACATTAAGTTAGAACAAAGGAAAGAAAAGTATTAAAGAACCTTCACGACTGCCCTGAAAATATGTCTGGACTGGAAAATACTTTTCACTTTACAAATATTCATTAAAATGTGCATTTTCAGCATCCATATACTATATTTTCATGTGGAATATGTAGTGTACAGTAGTCCTGATTTATTAACTAATATTTGGAAGGCAGGTAATTTCGAAACACATCTGGACTAGTGGAGCAGATCATAAGCACCTTTTAAGCTATCTTTATAAATAAATAAATAAATACACTTTTTAAATATATATATAATCCTAACATCTATACACTTAGACAATGGACATGATGAAATGTCCATTTTGGTTTCCCAAGATTTTTTCCTGTTTCTGCTATTGCTGATACATTTATTAGCTTACTGAGACTAATGAATATTGCAAATTCAGTACATGCTACAGATTTCCTCCCTGGAGAATTTACACTGAAAGATTAAAATAGAGCTGTGTCTTCAGTTATGATAGATGGAGTAGGAGCAGACAAAGAAAGAAATTAAATGAGAGTTATTCCCATGGGAGGGAGGAGGCTGCCCGTTCACCCGGAGTAGAGAAATGCTCTGAGCCTGGTGGCTGGACGGTGAAGGCTCAAATTAAAACCTGTGAGCAGGTGAAAGAAACTGCTTAGCAAAATCATGAGGAGAGAAGGGATGGATGGAGAAGAATCCATAGATTCTTAACAAAACTAACTGGAACCAGAAAAGAATATTCCCTGCACAAACGTGTAGATCACAAAATGCAAAACTGTCTCACTCTTTGTAAAACTTCCTGGATATTGTGGCCAGGACAGGACAGTACCAGACTCCTCAGAAACCTCCTGACATAGCTCCTGCTTTCACTTATTACTTCTCTCTTACTTTTGTGCCTTGCTGGAAGGAATACCTGATGTTATATGTTAGAAAATGAAGCATTAAGAGTGGATTTGTGCGGAAGAAAGACAGGATCCCATAGGTTCTCTTGCCTTTTCCATTTTCTTTTCTATTTTGTCCAAAACAAGAACAGAGAAGAACTGCTTGAAAGTTTTCTATTAAAATATACCTGCTGTAAAGATCAAATGTGCATTTCTGCTTCAAAATCACAGTGAAAAGAGCAAGTCAGAAGTAGAAGTGACTATGCTTATCCTCTTTAGCAGTTCCTTCCTCCCCCGAGTTTATCTGTTGATCCTAAAATTTGTGACTTTTTAAAAAAGATGATGGTCCTGACCCTACTGGCACTTCATTAACACTTCTGTGTAAATGTTACTGTAATTTGAAAAGTGACTAGCAAATACTAACAAATCCAGTTCTGCATAAGGAAGTTACTGGTCCTATTTGCAGCTGAGAGAATAAAAGATAAAGTAATGCTTCTTCTCGGAATCAAAGCTCTTGAAGTTTAAAATACAGTATCCATGGACCTCCTTAGAGAGAGGGAGACATTTTACTGGCCAAAGAGCTGTGCAGAATTGTTAATGTGCATGAGAGCAGACAACAAGCTGCCTGCCCCGTGAGCAAGCAGCAGCTACATACAGAAGCCCTGTTAGAAAAAATGTGAAAAGTATCTTTTTGGGAAACTTCATTACAAGGTACTTAAAATCTTGCATAATACAGGCTTTGGTTTTTTGTGCTTTAAAATGTTTAATCTACTGACATGCAAATTCTTCTGTTTTAAATAAGTAAAATTTATTTTTCTTCCTCTTTGCCTGCAGTAAAGAGCTGTGCATAATGACATTGTGTCAGATCTTCACAAGATTAGAAGTTGAGGTAAGAATTGGAAATATTTTTTATTAAGATTTAGCAACCAGGGAATTTCTGCTTTAATATGTTCATAATATAATAAATTATTCACATTATTAGTTCTTTTTAGTGAACAATAAACAAATGTCTCAGAAACAAGAGCAAGCATCATAGTAAGTAATAGATTTAATTTGTTGTCCATATGTATGTATCATTCTGATGAGTTTCTGAGACACGTGCCAGAAATGTCTTTATTTCTAGAGAATTATAAAATCATTGTTAAGTATCACTACATGAATTCTACTGATGTTAAAACTAAAAATAACATTCTGTCAAAGGTGACAGCTTCTTTTTCCCACCTCCTCATTTCTCTGAGCCCTTCAAAGTAGCATTCTCTTCCTCACCATCTCCCCAGACTGGGCTCTCATAGATTTCTACAATTCACAGCTCATTCAGGTACTTGTGCTGAGTCTCATGTAAGGACCCAGTTCCCTTGATCATTAAATCCACTGCACAGCACAGGGACAGATGAATGACAACTGAAACAACATCCACACTTCTTCATGTGAGCACCCACACTCTAACTGCTCCCTGTCAAAGAGGAAACTTTCAAAACACATTCCTTACCAGACCACAAAGGATTGTCAGTGTGGACTAAGTTGGTTTAAGAAACTGAGGAAGGGGGAAAAATTTGTTTATTTGCAAAACACAGAATTTAGCAGAGTCCAAAGCTTTGTGAATACAAGCAGTGTTGTTACTGCTAACAGTTGGCAATCTACTCTGTGTTGTGGAACAGTGAAATTAATTTTAAGGGTATAATGCATGCCATATAGTGCATGCATTAGACACATATTTGTAGAGGATGTAATCAAGAGATAATTCTCCTAATAATTTTGTTCAGTGGGGCATAGCTATCTGATTTATATACATGGGAGAAAGGTGCAATTAATGCAGCCCTTCCAATAGAAGGAAGACTATCATTTTCCCTACTTCAGAACAGAACTCAAACTTGTTTTTTAAAAAATAAATTTCATGTTCCAAGAGATGAAACTGAAACATGAAAAGATTTGCAGCTTTCACAGCAGCATGTGTCCCTAAAATGAAACTAATTTCTTAGCGTCAGTGCAAAAGCCTTTCAGTTTCTAGTAAGAGAAGGGACACGCTTTCCTGTGAATAAAGGGAATCCAACTACTCCTTTTAAGAGTGGACATTTCTGTTGCTGTCCCATGTCGTGGGCAAGTAGCCTCTCCACTCCTACCTGTCTGTGCAGGAGCAGTGATGGGCTCCAGGGCTGTGTGTCCATGTCCAGTCCAGCTCTAACATGAAACTGAGCCTGGCAGCGAGTTTTAGGGCTGCAAAAAATACAGCAATTGGCAAATTCTGTAAGAAGAGAGACTAGGTCCCAAGCAGATCAGAGCAATATTTTTGCTATTGAAAGAGCTGTGAAGAATTTTCTTACAGGTCTGAATTTGACTGGGAAGATGTACTTGCCACTCTCCAGCAGACAGCAGTTGAGGTGTGAGATTATGCAGCCACTGCAGGAGGTCAACCAAATTCTTGCTCCTCAGCTGTTGTTTCTGGCAAACAGGTTCTGTGAATAATTGTAGGGGAGTTTTTTTGAAGGGGTTGAAGGTGATGTTTAAGCTACCAGGAATTTACATTGCTCTGTGAGCAAGACCTCAGCCTCAAGTGAAGTAATGACCACATTCAAAACCATGACCATGTTTGCGTAGATAAACCCAGAGTTATGACTTCATCTCACCCAGGGACATCAGTGGTTTCTGTGTACCGTGTGTCTGTGCTTTCTCAGTTTAAGAGTTATGTGACTTCTGAAGGGGAGTTGTAATAACCAGGATCTATTTCAGACCTTGAACAAAGCTGGGAACTGCTTACAGAAGGAATGAAATCTCAAATATTCCTGTGAACAGCTGGACCTCCCTCTCCTTTCCTTACAGGGGAGACAACTTTTAATTATAAACAGCAAAATTTTATGGTTATTTGACAGATAACCAATTCCATAAAGTCATTGGTTTTAATCATAAAGAGAAAGCATTCCTTAAAAACAAACTTTTAATGGCTGTTCAGGACAAACTGTGTTTATATGGGACAGTTAGCACTATAATAATGCATCACCAGCAACTGCACTATAACTAACTAAAGGAACATACTGGCACATAATCAACAACTTTCTTCCAATGAACCATGAGCAACACCTTATTTTGGAATCTTTGTATTTTAGGAATTAAGGGCAGGGTGCAGAGCAGCAGAACTCAGATAAATGATAACCATAGCTGGGAAAAGGCACAGTAAACAGAGCTGTGAGCAAACACTGTAGACTGAAGTAGGAAGAGCAAAGCACTCCTGCACACACACCACTTTGCAAACAGGTGCTGGTTCATGCCACAATAGATAATAGTTCATCCAGAAGCTATTTTGGTGAAAAGCTACTTCCAAGTTCTTACATATTAATACTGAATCCTCAGTAGTAAACATATTTCCATTTAGATAGCTGGGGTGTTTCCTAGGTGTGGTCAGAGAGGGGATTGTTGGGATTTTTTACCTTCTGCTTGGAGTTCCAAAATTGTATCCAGTTAGTGTGCTACTTACAGCTCAGAACTGTGATTCCTTAATGTTTTTGTCAGGGGCAAAAAGTGTACAGGAAACTTACCAGTCACATGCTGACAGATACACGGTATGACATGGGACTGCAGTGTGCATTTAAAAACATTAAAACTCTCACACACACTAATCTTAATATATAACATCACTTTAAAGGGATCTTTGAAAAGAAGTGTGCAGTATTTCAAGCTCACATTCTTACCAGTGCAGCATTTAATCTTCTAACTATGTATGTATTTATTACACTTTCCTTCTTTGGAGGGTTTATTTTACATATTAAAGAAGCTTCCACCAATCCTTGAGAGTTTTGCAGTAAATCTCACTTGTGTGGGAGGGCAGAAGAGCTGAGCAGTTTCTGAGGTGGCTGAGACCTCTAGTGCCCAGTCCTTTCATTGCATGGCTGATGATTTTCACCAGTTCTGCACTCAAAGAAAAATAAAAAATTGCTCGTATTCCTAATGAAGTGGTAACTACTGAATTGATTGGATAATTCATCCCTTTCAGTTTCTGCCTGTTCATGTTCCTACTGAGGAAGAAAAGAGTGATCCAATTCTTTTTGCCAACAGAGTCCGACAAACCATGGCAAAGTAAGTAACTGATCATCAATAAAACCTCTGAGAACTGTTCTTTTATTTTTATTAGCAATTCCACATATAGCCTAACCATAAAGTACAATTTAGTCATGTCCTGGGTACTATACATAGGAATTGCTCTAGATTTTCACTGAGAGGTGTCAAAATCCTATACTAGATTACCCTGATTGCTTTCACATTGGAACATAGTATGTTCAATTAGTAGAAAACTTGAATAAAATAATCTCTCCTTGCTTGGCAAGGAGAATGGGTGGTGGTTTGTTCTCCAGCATTACTGGGCTGCATTTTCAAGACTGTAAATCTTAAAACCTCATGGTGCTGCAATAACATGGTTTCATGGTGTGGTTTCACAGTCTCATGAAATGGTGTATATTGCTTTGTCCAATTGCAGCAGTGCAAGAATGAATTACCATTTGTTTCACATATCAGAGAAGGAAAACCATCTGCAAAAAGTTATTTTCATATATAAGACATTTATTTTGCTTTTCCTTAATTTTATTTCAGTGCTTTGAATGTGCCAATCACTGATCACACTTTTGAAGATTGCAGGCTGATGATTTCAGCAGGGCAGTTGACTTTACCCATGGAAGCTGGGCTGGTGGAGTTCACCAAAATTAGCAAGAAACTCAAGTAAGGGAAGTTTTATTGCTTGGTAGCATAATTACTAAAGTGCTGCAGATATTGATGGCCATCTGCCAAAGGTTGAATAACCAGACTACAGACTTGGCCATGTGTAACATAGTGTATTTAAGCATACAATTTACATAAATTACAGGGAAATCAGAGATGAGGAAAATCCCAGTAAGGACTAATCCCAAGTAATTTTTGTCACCAGCATTGCCAGAGAAAAGATTGTTCTCACCAAAGGGTGAGAAAAGTAGGGCAGTACCTGTTTTAAACACTCCATGGTAATCTTGGTGGAAATTTAAATTGCAGCAGGTACTGGCAGCTTGTGGCAGGAAGTAAAAAACCTTTATTCCAGCCTGAAACTTCAGCTTACTGTTCTTGGTTTTACTGTGCAGCCATGTGTCAGTAGTGATGTCAGTTTTTTCTGTCTAGATACAGTGGAATTTGAGGACTGAGCCATATAACCATACTCTATCAAATAACCTGGCATGGCTGTGGTAAAATCTGAATGTGTCCAATAAATCTTGACTTACTGTTAAGTGCTATATATCCATTTATAGAATTCCATCTGGAATAGTTATGTGGCAATCCTAATTATTCTTACTGAGGTGCAGTGGTGTATTTTGCAGAGATCTGGCAGTTCTGAGCAATACTCTGGCAATACTGGTGTTTGGGTAGAGATCTTGCTAATAGAGCTGAGACCTGCTCTCTCTGTCAAGGAAATACTTACCCTAGAGCATGATGCAGCACAATACTGCTACACCTGCATTTATGGTAATGAAAAGCTCTCTTCTGGAGCAGTCTAGTAATTGGACAGACAATTCTAGGTTTGGGAAGTTATTCTGTGTAAGTCTGACATACCCAAGCGTAGAGCTGCCTGCTTTTAATATTAATAACCAGAGGGGAGCAGTCCTTAATTACTGATTTAAAGTAAAATATCTGGTCTGAAGTACAGCATTAGAAATGCTGTACACACATGCCCTGTTTGGCAGTTTTTCATCTTTGAACACTGTAATAACTCCTACTAAAATTCCATCTGTCCAAGAACTGCTGTATAGAAATATCTCCTCTCCCTCATGTTTGCATAGCCTAAAATGGAATCATGTCAGAGAGCAGTTGGATACTTTTGCTGCTATTGCAAGTGCTTCCAAAGGGGGAAGAATTGGAATTGAGGAGTTTGCTGAGTACTTGAAGCTACCTATTTCAGATGTCCTCAAAGAGCTGTTTCTACTTTTTGACAGGGTGAGTAATTGGTTAAGTGACTTTTTGACGATATTTTGTTAGAAATCACGTACCAAAAGGATATTTATTATAATTCATTATGTCCAGCATAGTAAATGCTTCTTGGTTAACAGTTTCTGTAAGCAAGGTAGGTGACTCTTACAGTTTTTTTCATAAGTTTCATTAGTTTCTGCCTTGTAAGATGGCAGCCATCCCTTGGACCAAGTTGCTGCACCAGTATCAGACAATAATCTTCATGCTGGTAGTAGCTGTATATTTTCTTTGGCCAACTGCAGATTTTGATCTTATGTACATTTTGATAGCTTAGTTAGCTGTTGTAATTAATTAGAAAATTTAAGGCAGAGTGAAGCTAACTGGAGTGTTAACTGGAACACTGGAGTGCTCCTGCTGTGCTTGTGAAGGGTGCTGTTAGATTTTACAGGGACTCCTCTTGCTTCTCTCCACCAGTAAAGGGGGTTGTGTGTTAACATGATCATTTAGGCTTTACCCCTGGTCAGTGCTAATCTCTCCAATTTTCTGCTTCTCTCTGAGGATGACAAAAATGGCTGCATTTCTCTCTATAGCAGAAGCATCAATGACTAGGGCACAGACAGAATTAATCTTACTTCTAGGCCTCCACGTGTGCTGCAGTGCACCAGCCAGTTGTCCTGCAAGTGCCTGTGGACTGGAGGTTTTCTCTTACCATAAGAGCTTTCCCAGCTCACCATCACTCTTCCTGATCAGTTAGCCTTACCACTACACCTGTCCTTGGGAGGCCATGGTACATGCTCATTAAAACTGTTTCAGGATTTTTCCACATAAAAAGTTTTTACAAGCTGTAAAATAGGGAAGAGTCAAACATGTTTCCTGAACTGCTGAATGCCCTGAAGGTCTAGCAGAGCTAGGTACATCATGCTTTTGTCATTCTTGCCTCCCCATCTTGGACCATTGGCTCCTGTGGCATGTAGTCTGAGTCCTGAAGCACAGTACCTACATCAGAAATGTGCAGTGGAAACCAGAGTAATTAAGGGCAATCATACTCCTTTCACTTTCTTTATATGGTGCAACATCAATGACCAGAACTAACAAAGTAATGCTCAATTCTCTAAAATTTTGAGGGAATAAAAGATTATGACAACAAAGAAGTGCAAGGCTGCATTCACCTTTAAGGAGATCAGCACTACTGAGGAACAGTCATGCTCATCTAACAGGGCTGGTTTCAAATTGCTTCAGGTATGAGCACAAGCATTCTGAGACTTCTGCTTTGTGGGTTTCAACCTCATTATTTTTTTCTCTAAAATGATTTCTCAAATCACATGAACATAACAATGCGAAGAAGAAAATAAATAGGGGCGTATCAACACCTGACAGAAACTAGTGAGACGTAACTGGGAGCCAGAAACATGCCCAGACATGGTGAAGTCTAAGCATGCGGATAAGCTCTGTTTTGCCCACACCCACGTCAGACACAAGACAGCTTCAGAGAGCTACAGAACACTGGATCTCTGCGTAACTCACTTCAGAAAATCTTCACAATGTTCCTTGCTAAAGCATTGCTGAGTGGAGGAAGTGGTAGTAGTCGTGGAGGAAGCCTTGCACGTGGCCTTGGAGGGCTCCTGACAGGAGGTGGAGGTGCAGGGAATATTGGAGGGCTTGTTGGAGGTCTTGTCAACCTTATAAGTGAAGCGGCAGCTCAGTATAATCCAGAGCCACCTCCACCTCCTCGCAATCATTTTACAAATGTGGAAGCTCAGGAGAGTGACGAGATCAGACAATTTCGTCGCCTGTTTGCCCAGCTGGCTGGAGATGATATGGAAGTGTGTGCCACCGAGCTAAGGGACATCCTGAACAAAGTCCTTTCCAGACACCAAGACCTGAAGGCGGATGGCTTCAGCTTGGACACCTGCCGTAGCATGGTCGCCGTCATGGACAGCGACACAAGCGGCAAGCTGGGCTTTGAGGAGTTCAAGTACCTGTGGAACAACATCAAGAAGTGGCAATGCGTGTACAAGCAGTTCGATGCTGGTCAGTCAGGCGCTGTCGGGAGAGCCCAGCTGCCCAGCGCCTTGCAGGCTGCGGGGTTCCAGCTGAACGAGCAGCTGTGCCGGGTGGTCGTGCGCAGGTACGCCGCCGAGGACGGCAGCATGGATTTCAACAGCTTCATCAGCTGCCTGGTGCGGCTGGACAGCATGTTCCGGGCCTTCAAGTCCCTGGACCAAGATGGAAGTGGGCACGTCAGAGTGACCATTGAAGACTGGCTGCAGCTGACCATGTATTCGTGAAGGCGTGGCAGAGTGGCTTTGTGTGGAAGATACACCTGGAGGACCACGCTCCTCTGCTGCACAGCTGTGGTCTTTGCCTTTAGTCTTTCTAAGGCAGATGTAGATAGCGGTAGATGGCTCAGCTTCAAGTGTAGTGATTCTTCTTGTGCATGCATTGGTCTGCTTTTCTGAGGGGTTTGTGTAGGTTGTTGATCGGGCAGTTGCATAAGTTCAGAAAATCCTAGATTCTAAGGTTAGGAAATATATTGGAAAGATCAAAGCTTGTTACGTTTTTGTGTAAAGTGGCTTGTATATGAGTATAACTGTTATATAAAAAAGCTGCCAAGTTTGGTGTTGATGTTGCTGTTCTGATTTGTCAGCAGTCACTAAGCTGGAATAAAGGCTGTTTGCCTGAAGGCAGTCACTGGTAGACTCTTGTGCAGTTATTTCTAACAGGGGGAACATTAAAGTTGCAGTAACTGTAATGATCAGTGAACTTACATAATCATTCAATTTCCTTTCTACTTCTGCTTTTTCATGCTTGGCTGCTGAAGTAAAACCTCAGTTTTACTGTCAGTTCTAACTGGTGGCCAGGACAAAATTGAAGACTTATATGAGGCTACTTCTGCAATGATCTCCTTCCTACAGTTCCATGAACTAGTCTTTTCTCTCTTTCCTTCAAGCCTAAACATAGTTATGAAGCAAACAACTTAAAATACTACATTTATATTTAGAGAAACTTGAAATCATTATGCAGTCACATAGCAGACAGAGAGCCAAAGTCAACCACTGGCTATCTGAGTGAAATTTCATCAGGGTGCAGCATCCCACTCAAGGTAGTTATGCAGTTCTGGCTAAGATGTCAACTTCTGAGTAAAAAAAATAAAAGGAATAACGTGAACTGTCAAAAGTGCATTTCTTTGAATTAAGGATTACATTGTTGATCAAAACAGCTCTTGCACAAGGCAGATTTCTTGGCAAGGCTCTGCTGCTTTAAACGAAAATTGTCTTGGGTGTGTGGGAGCTGGCTGGAATGTGAAAAGAGGAGTTAAATCGGCAGCCTGGCACTAGAGGCAGTCTCCAGATGTGAGAGTCCTGGTGCCCCTGCCCTTCCCCAGGGACACAGCAGTGACTCATAGAGAAATACCACACAATACCTGCAGGCCATCTACACTTTAATGGGGTGCTGTGGTGTGGTTTGGTTTGGTCTGTAACTTTCCATAGCTTCGATTTCTGAATCTTGCACTTACACTTGGCAAATAGTATTTTTCAAATTGATGAGCTATGCTCCCTGGTATACTTGCAGAAACCTTTTACTTGAAACTAACTTATAATTTGTGCCCAGATTGTTTTCCTCCTGCACTTTGTTTAATAGCAGACAGAAAAATATTCATACTATCCCAGAGAAAAGAGGCCAGTTCCTTCCTCATGGCATTCAGCCTCCTCCCATTTCTTCAGTGGGAAAGCACTCAGTTATCCCTTGTGCCAGGTAATCCCATTTGGGCTCTGAGTAATAGAAAAGTGAGCAGGAGAGAAAGTGTGACATCCTCCTCAAAAGTATTGATGCAGTGGTACTTTATACTGCATCTGGCTTGCAGTCCCTGTGCAAATCTAAATCTACTATGATAGTGCAACTTTCTTGTTTTCCAAAATCTTAAGATTTACTGTATCATATAAAAAAACCAACAACAAAACCCCAGTTACCACAGCATGCTATAGGGAAAATAGTAGCAGAAACCTGGCTTCCTTAAAGAAAGCAAGAGTTGTTAAGGTTACATTATGTTTTGATTGTTTTGTGTAGCATAACTGCAAATACCCAAATTCTGATTTACCATTTAGAGAACCAGAGCTTAGCTCACACATTTCTTCCTTAAAATATTCTTGGGTACATAGCTGCAAACACAGTTAGGTATGCATAGAAAGACAATTGCAAGTGCTTTTTGCTGTGGTGTTACACAAGCACTTCAAATTTTCCCATATTTTCAGTTTAACTTCCATTTCTTTTCCCAGGCAGCAACCCCATCATTTCTCCTTAACCAGAATGCCAGAGCATTTGGAAGTTAGCCAGCATCCTAGAGTTTAGTAGAACTAGTCACGACATGATCTTGCAAGCATAGTAACTTTATTTTCTACTAAAATGGCTGGAGTTCTGTCTATCAAACTGCACTCAGTTTTGATTACTGAGTTTTCACACTTTAATGAAAGTAATATGAGCTTTATTTTTGTCTTTTTTCTTGTCGTATTTCCATGTGCCACAACTGTGTTAACTTCTTTCAGAAGTTGTTTTTAATTAAATTATTTTAAAGTTTACTTCCCAATTCTTTTACTGTGATAAATATTCTTAACTTTGAAAATAAATTTTCAAAATATTCTAATCACTTCAAACAGTCCTTTGCTAAGAATACAGTCTGCAAAACTATCCAAAAATAATATTCTCTGGAACTTTGAACAGTTATTATCTGCACTCTTGCTTCAGTTGTTTTAAGACTTTATGTTTGTAATGTTACGCTTTAAAGTTAGATCTGAGAACTACAATGTGAAGAAAGTGCTGAAAGTCAAACTCTGCATCACAATGAGAACACAGATTTACAAATAAAACAATGTGTATGAGACAACTTTGTCCTTTTCTAATGATTAAAAACTGACAAAAGTTATAACCCTTAGACGTCCATGAAACTTAAAAGTTCATATCTTATTCATATCTTTGCTCAAAAGTTTACCTGAAATTCACAGGTTTCTGAAGTACAAGATGTTCAAAGTCAATCAAAAGATCAATCAAAAGGATCAGTTAGACCATCAATATAAATAATATAGCAGTTGTCTATGCAAAAGAGTCCTGCATTGGTTTTGAAGGCTAAATAAAATTATATCTTAGAAGATTTAAATCCTGTGAAATGTATAGCTTGATGATGACAGGTTAATAATACTGATTTCATTATATTATTACACATATTTTGTTAATCAAGAGCTGTCTCAAAATCTAAATTCAATTGCTAAAATCCCTGTTTCATAGCACCCAAAATTTTCAAAGCACTCTACAGAGCAGCCTTAGTATTCTCCCGTGACATATTGCACTGTTCAGCAGCAGAAAACCAAGAGCAGAAAGGTTTAGGTTGGTATGCTCAAGGGGACATTAGAAGTTGGTAGGAGAGCCAGAAATAGAATCCTGGTCTGGTCCTTTGCTGCAGATTTACCCAGCTGACCACCCCTCTCTCACTTGGCTGAAACAGTTTTGTGTTGCTCTCATACATAGGGACTCCACATTTTAAGAAAATGTTTTTCTTGTTGAAATGCAAAACACTTTATCCACAAAAGGAACTCTGCTTTACACTTCAGTTTGCTTTTAAAACATTTTTGATGAATGCCCTTACTGTGAATATTCAAAACAATGTCTTCTTGTCTATTTGTCATCTCTATTATGCTGTCATTACCTGCTCTATGTCCCACCATCTAAGGTTTGCAGATGGCTTTTGCCCAGACAGATGTCTCCCAAAACACTCAAGAAACTTCCAGTGTGGTGACAGAAACATTACTGACATAAGCATAGATTTCATCAGGCATCTGCCATTCTCCCTATCTGCAGATATAATGCATCTTACACAGAATTAATCACAAATCCCATCAAAGCAAGCTTCAAATATTTTGTTGATGTAGCTTTGTAGTTAACACATTGAAATGTTTGTTCAGATCAGAACTGGAAATATTACAGAGGCTGTTCCAATGAATTCCTTGTCTTTCTGGCTTAAAAGGTAGGACAGTGCATTGGCTTCCAAATAGCATGTAGGGCTGTGCTTAGGCTTCAGAGGAAAGCTTAAGATAAACCAGGTAGATTTGGTTGTCCTTTCACTGCTGTATATTTCATTGCTGAAGGTTCAGACTCTAAGCAACATCCTCACTCTTGATCTGTTGATTCTGGGTTGTGTTGGCATTGGTCTCTGAACTTCAGCAAGTGCCAGTGCTGCATGCACTGCTACAGTTACCTCAAACGTGGATTCCAGTTATTCTTAGAGCCTTCCTGAAGGCCATGTGCTAAAGAAAAACTTTAAGTTGTTTCAAATATTTTTTGTTTGTGTTTTGTTTGTTCATAAAATAGAAATCCATACCCAGTTTGTAGCTATTGAAAACATGTATATTGCTACTCCAGCCTTAGCATTACGGATTTAATGAGCTCTTAGGTTTTTTCCCAGGAAGAACAAAAACCTCTAGTATTGTAAACTGTCTTAGTGCATGTGTTGTGTTTGATTCACAGAAGAGCTTTTAAAGTGATTCTCAGTATTAACTATAACTACTGCCATGCATGTTTGGGTTACAGAATGGAGATGGCACCATCGACTTCAGAGAGTATGTAATTGGTTTGTCTATTCTTTGTAACCCAGCCAACACAGAGGAGACTATTCGGATGGCGTTTAAGGTAAGTTCCATTTAGTGTAAATCTACAAACCTGACAAATCAAGACTGACTGTAAGTCTGTTAGCTTTCAAATCATAAGTTTATAGCTTCAATCTGTTATGCAAATGTGAGTAATTCTCTTAAACCAATTGACATTTAGAGTGTGAAAGGGAGGGGAAGAATTGCAGGCATCATAGAGAAGGGTTTCAAAAGCCATCTGAAGGCACTAATGAATATGTAACTTGGCAGGCTAACTCCAAAAATGATTCAGCAGCACTTGTAGTTTTTTTTTTTGCCTGAGGTTTTTTTTCTGCTGTGATTCTTCAATGTCACAATAGATGGAGTAATATCCTCTTGTGGGTCAAGCTTCACTAGAGTCATTGTTCTTAACAAAGAGGAGGGAGAAAAAAAATCAGGGGCTGTTCAGAACTGGCACATTGAAAACTGGGCTGCATCTAAGAGCTGCTGGCTTGTCCTGTGGTGCCCTGATAGTACAAGCAGTAAAGGAGCAGTAGCTTCTTTCACATCTCAGGTACATGCAGACAATGCATGACCAGGCATGCCCATGTTGTGAAGCCTTGCCTCTTTTTTTAGTAGCTCTTTGACACAGATCCACTTGGTTTACCCATTAGTGTGGTCTTATGTACTCTATTGAGCAACACATTGAGACACCACTCATGTTCGTTGTAAGCTGAGTGCTTCCTAGTACTGATGCATACTTGGGAAGTACCAGAGGGTTTTTGGCAATCCATTATATCCACTGGCTTCTTTTCAGATAAGCATTAGAGCTTTTCAAGGTGATTTGTTAATTTTTGGGGATGTTTTATCAGTACCGATTCCTATGAAGAAGCAAGTCTAGCAGCTATTGTTGCTGTTCCATTGTGTTGTTTCCTACACTATACTGTTCAGTATGTTAACAGGTGTGCTGATAATAAAATCAGTAATTTGTTTTAATTTCCAGTTTCAGCACAAAACAAGTCATTTAGCTGGTAAAAGCCTGCTTCAGTCTAAAATGGAACTGTGGGTTCCTTTTGCTACTTGTTTTCTGTGCCACTAAATGTCTTTTCTTTCACAATGGCAAAGTGTGCCTGTAGCAAACATTTAGGAATTGCAGCCATCCATCCCTTGTATTTCTCCAGGGGTGGTTCATAGCAGATGGTTACTGTCGCTGCATTGGGCTGGATGGGATGGTCAGTGTCCATCAACTGCCTGCATTCCAGGAACCAAAATTCCGTGTTAATTACAATTAATTCCTTAGTGAGCGATCAGTCACATACACTAAAATTTAGGTATGTCAGAGCATAAACTATGATAGCAAGTTTAATCTGACAGCAGATGTGTTATGACCTAACAAAAATGGAGACTAAAACCTAAGACGTTCCAGTACAGAGTGGCTGAATCCAGTAGACTCTTAGCACAGCTCATGGTGACAATAAACATACATCTTTATTTATGTTTTATCAGTTTTGTATTGTTTTTATCAGTGAACCAGCACTGTGAGGTTTGTTTGTTTGTTTTGTCAGAATTCTATTCCCAGCTATAGCATGGACTTTGCTCTGCAAAGTGTCTGCTTAGTCTTTTTCCAGGCTCTTCAAATCCCAGGCATTGCTCACAGAGCTGCTGTGTGCTAGAAAGCCACGTTGAGTGGCTAAAGTGCACAGAGGGCTCACAGGCAAAGTGATGCCAAAGTATTTCTACACGTTGTGTCTCTCCAGCTCTTTGACATGGATGAGGATGGCACTATAACAGAAAATGAGTTTGCTTGTATCATTCAGTCAGCACTGAGGCTGCCTGAGCTTGATGTTTCTGTGCTCTTTAAAGAAATAGATGCAGATGAAACCGGGAAGCTCTCCTACGGTAAGTTAACGTCCTTTTGTTAGAAAGAATACTCTGATAGTTATATGGACAGGGGCTTTCCTTTTTTAATTCCCTCTAATTCCCTGATGGTTCTCATACCTTGTTCCTGGGGAGAACTGCTGAAGCACAGACCTAGATACTTTGTATGATACTCTTGGGTTTTCTTAGAGGGAACTAACTGGAGATCAGCTTCAGTGAAAGAAGCAGGCACTGCAATTTTCTTTGATTCTGTTGCTGCACTATAGTATCTGTGTTTTTAATGTTTTTCAGAGGAGTTCAAGAACTTTGCACTCAAGCATCCAGAATATGCTTCATTGTTTACTACATATATAGATCTACAGAGACACCAGTCAGGTGTGTTTGAGGAGCATGACACTGAGCCACCCAAAGGCAAACACAGCCCAGTTAGGAGCACAGCCCTGGTCTCAGAAACAGCACCACTTGCAAGAAATAAAGTCTGTCCTCAAGGCAGTGAGGAAGATATCTCAAGTACCTCTGACAAAAAGGATGACTGAAAAGAGTTAAATAATTCAGCTCTTGAATTCTACAGAATTTTTTCCCCAGCTGTTCATAAGCACAACTGATGTAAATTAGAGATGGAAGTTACAACTTAAAAAAAGTTTGGGGTTTTTTTTGTTTTGGTTTTGTTTTATTTTTCATATCAGAAGGAGTTATTCCTTTTTGATTGTAAGGGAAAAACCACTGTTCAGTCCTTAATGTCAGTATCACAGTACTGGGAATATTCTTCAGTGTCTTCCAAGTTCATGCTTCTGCAAAAGTAACGGGTGTGCTAAGAGGGGTACGAGGCTCCAGCACTGCAGTGACCTCTTGGAATGAAGACTAAGGAGTCCACTTGTCTCAAAACTAGTGGTATTTTTGGCACTGCTCAATTCCTCCAGATTCCCAACATGACTTAAGGGAAAAAAATTGTGCTAGAATGTTATAATTTGCAATATCACTTAGCTATTCTCAAGTTTCTGAGACACACAAATGAGTTACAGGAAGCTGAGACTTTAAGATTATGTTTTTTGCTTGTCCTTAGATTGCCCTTAACTACTTAGGAACCAGAAAGCCTAAGTTTCTGAACAAGACATCCTGGTTCACTGATGTTAACAAAAACCACTTTAGGCCTAAAGGCTGGTGACAGATGGAAATGGCTGCACTTCTAACAACAAAAAACAAATTGGAATTCCAAGATAGCAGCTTGTAGTCTGGAGGAAAATGCAGACAGTAAAACCTAAAATTAATGGACTATTTCAAAATAAATACCATGTTGTTTACAGTAACAACTGTTCAGGATCACATTGGTAGGAGCTTTTCAAGCTTCAGCGTATTTTTTTATTCTCACAATTATCAACAGAGGAATGTGACCTTGTTCTGCAAAGCTTGAAAGGCAAATATGCTGTCAAACCATAGTTCTAGTACTTAGTATCTATCTAAAGCTGTCTCCTAGAAACCGTATTTGCATTACTGTGCCATTGCTCAGTGTTCTTGGGGCTTGGTTCAAAACCAAGCTCTTTCTAGTCAATGATTTGAATGTGTTTTGCCTTGGTCCTCTCTAGTGCACTGGAAATTGGGCCTTTACCTTTTTCCGTCCTTTATCTGAATGCACTTTATGCAGTATTTAAAATATATAGCTATTTAAGCAAATACTTCTCAATAAAAACTTGGAAGGGATTAAATGAGAAGATATTTTCAGATTAAAACTAAGATGAGCAAAGCCTAGACTGTCTAGTACCAATAATAATCAACTTTCAGCAGGTTTTCATATGTGAAATGGTAACCTCTGCCTCTAAGTTATTGCTTGCAGTCTGGCCGCAATTTCATTGCCATGTTTTACTTTCTCTGTTTATAATTGTGCCTCTGCTGATGCTTCATGTTCTCAAAATAAATCTATATTTTTTAAAAGACTTTACTTGTACAACTGAGTCTTTTTATTTTTAGTTCAGTGGGAAGGGTGCTTTGTCTGCCTTAAGGGGCTGGAGGGAGTTTTCAGGAAATCGTGGTTAAGATGCTTTTCCTTGGTAAACTCAGTGCAGCCTGAAGTTGGCATTTTCAGTTCTTTGTATGGTGGCACTTTGCTTTATGGTAGGACTGGAAGAGCAGGACAGGACCAATACTCTTCCAAAGATTTACTTCTGGTGACTGCCTCGACAAGAGGGATTATGATATAAAGGTCTGCAAATCCATGGAGAGAGAGTGCCATTTTTTATGGAAAATAAGGCATCACTATTTACATGTAAAATGAGTGACCTCAACCACAGCTGAGATGTAACAATCATGGCTTTGAGTACAGTGAACATTAGGAGAGTATTTTCTCCCAATTAGAGGAGAAACAGGAATACAGTTAACTGGAATACATGTTAATTCTTAGCAAGGATGCTTTTACCTAGCATGTTAACCAAAGTCTCAGCTTTTCAACCAGCAATAATCTCTTCAAAGATTACTTCTATGCCAGCCGGTAAGAAAAAAATGGGTGGGCAAAGATGACAAAGGAAAGCACTTCAAAGTCTTGGGATGCAAAGGCTGCCCTACACACACTCCTGCTGAATCCAGCCACATTCAGCAGCAGGAGCTGTGCTGTCCAATAGCACAGTATGTTTGGAGATTTTATAAAAATCTGCAAGTCACACCAGCCCTTTGCACTTACAGCTAAAAATACTATGTATATAAATCTACCTATCCCTGTAGTTAGAGGAAAGGCCACAAATGGGTTTGGTATGTAGCAGTGATTCAACCATGCTCTGAAGAGAAATTAGCTAAACACTAGAGACACTAACTCAATATACACACATCTGCTGGGTGTGCGGGAAGGGAATACGTTAATTTCTAGGCATCATCGTGCCTCAGGGAGCTTTTAAAAGGACCAAACTAAAAGCAGTCTGCAATAAACAGGCATTACATTAAGTGGTAGAGCAGGAACTAAACAGAATGAGAAGGTTAAAAATACTAAACAGAAAATGGCTCTCAATCAGGCATTGAGGGATGACACCTTTCTGCCTCAGACTTCCTGAGGTGTAAGTTCGTAAGTCTACGGGCTGCTTAGGGATCACTGTGAGTCCTGCACAGCAGAAAGGATATTTGTCCCCATGTCACCATAGAAAACATAATTTCTTGAATCAGGACTTCTCTGACTTGCTTTGACATGGATTTGATGATAAGTCCTTCATGGATACAAAAATAAGACACTTTTTAAAGTGTCTTTAAAGCAATCTTAACACAGGCAAGAATCAAACAAGGACAAGTCTATTACAAGAGGGAAACACAACTCACAAGAATACAGGCTCATGGGATGCTGTTATCCATGAGGTTTGGTAACTATATATGCTATGAATAAATCTCATTTGCGTTTTTTAATCTGGGCTCTTGTTTCTGAACACATGAAAGGCAGTGCTGGGTCACCTAGAAAAGTGAACCTTCTTTGTATACCCTGGAACAACGAAGACATAAATACTCTAAGTTTAAGGAAGGTGAATTAACAGGATGTCCAGTGGCCACACCAGAGCTTGATTTCTGAGGCAAAGATCTTTCAATCCAAGAAAATTAAAACTGTTTGTACTTCCTTTGCTGCATCAGTGTTACTGCCTAAATAAGTGGAAACAGAGATGACACATCCAGGTTTCATGTCAGGTTATACCTTTATAAGATCTGGCACTAAACTGCCAAAATCACATAATTCCTGGCTGATTGCTGTCCATCAGAACTACAAGGAGTAGTAACACTTTGATGGAAAGCATCTGAAAATGGCTCTCCTCACAGTCAATAACTGGGCAGCACCAATCAGAGGCACCAAACCATCACTGACTGCTGCTCCTGAACTCTTGCGCTCATCTGCATCAGAGCAAGTGAGGTGCCAAATCATATTCCACAATATTCCTGTGACAGTTACCTCCTCTTCCTCATCAGCTTGCTCCATGGGGATGCAGAGGAGGTGAAGTTATGTGATTCCTGAATGGCTTACAAGGGAAGCTGCGCAGCAGCTGTGTGCTCTGCCCATTCATCCCTTCCCAAGACCGCAGCAGGACTAAGAGCCGCCGGAGTCCAGCCAAGGGTTGTGTTGTGTGACAGCTCTACTGACCATTCATGGAAGAGCTGCACAGGGTAAGGGCTGCTTGGCCATATCTGCCATCTCCCTTGCAATTCCATCTAAAACAAAGTATTCCCTGGGCATCAGAAGTCTGAGAAACATTTGTTAAGACCTTGCTTCTATGGTGGTCAGCCCACCAGGACCCTGTTCCTGGGTAATTCCTCAGGCACCATGCCAGTGCAAATACCAAAACACCATTCTGCCTGAGCAGGCTCCTCTTGCATAGGTGCCAAGAGCTACTCAGAGCCTGTGGATGTGAAAAATCAGGGCCTGAAGCTTAGAAACTAAATGTAAAAAATGTCCCTACATATCCAAACACACCCACACTGGACAGTGCTGTGAAATGTTTGACCACAGCCTTCAGCAAGGAGTGCAGCCTGCGCTTTCATGCTGAGAATTACACAGCTCTCACTTTGAGATTGCCGCAGGAGAAATTCTCAGGAAAGGCTTGGGAGGCTGGTAGCTACACTCTGTGTGATTTTCTGGAAGACTGGACTCCAGTCCAGGCTCTTTGGTTTACCTTTTTCCCTGCTGTTTTTCATCTCTTGAAACAACCTGCCTTTCTCTCCACTTTCTCCCTCCACATTTCCACCTAAAACATATTAAAAGTTATATTCCACAATGGTTAAAGTTAAATTTTAATATTGAAACATAAAAATTACCAAATCTGGTGAGATTCAGGGGCACATGCAGTATTCAGGTAACTACTTTTACTGGTCTGCAGTAAGAGCAAACTTGTCAAAGGTTGCAAGGGATTTTAATGACATTGAATTAATTAATTTTAAACCTTTACTCAATGAAATAACATTTATTATACTGACTAGAAGTAGGGAGACGTTTGTCAGCAGTGCTTAAGTTTGCAGACTCTCTGTTACTATACATAGCCAGAGAGGCAGAAAGTAAACATCTTATAGGATTAGCAGCTATGTTCATAGCTGAGATGAAATTTGAACATTTCATTAGTATAAGATTAATTCTGACATTTCATAAAGCCAAAATGCAAACAATAAAATGTGTCTGATATAAATACAGTATGCAGCACTTACTCAGATAAAGTTCAAGAAGCACAGCAGGTTTAGTACCATGACAAAGGAAATACAGGAGGGTCATTTAAGGACCCAACTTCTGCTAAGCACTTCAGTGTATGCTTAATCCTGTAGGTATCAACCAGATGCTTTGTACTTATCAAAAGCAGAAAACAATACTAATAATCAGAAAACAATAAAATATTTCATGACTAGTTATTGTAAGGATGCTGAGAATTGCATCACATTCATCAAGAAACACAGTACCACAACTGATTAAATTTTATTTATTATGCCATCCTCTTAGTTTGGGATATTCTGTAACAACTACAGCTTGACTGGTGAGACTTCAGAGACACATGACAATGTTATAATAGAAAAGACTTCACTACCTTGCCTAAGCACTACTTTTAAAGCCCCTTCTTGCTGCAACAGGTTGAAAGTAAATATATGCCCCTCCTCTATTCTCACTTCATGATTTTTCTTGGTTTTCATGCTATTACATGCTTTACCTTGCTGATAATAAATCAATATTGACTCTTTTCACCTGTTAACTTTTATTACAAGTTTTATTCCAGGAAACAGTTGAAAATCTTCCTTTTCAAGATTGAAAATTATATGTTAAAAAGATGTTCAAGCAAGGCTCACCTCTAAAGCTGCAGCTGCATGTGCATTGCTTTGTTCTATACTGGGCACGGGTGAGAGCATTCATTTGAAGTAGTGAGCATTCACTAAGTTAAACTTGCCACTAAAGGCCCCCACAAAGGAACACTGCCTTGCCCATTTAATCCATTGCTCAATAAGTTCTGCTATTAGAAAAGTTTTTGTTCTAGTTTAGCCTGAATACTTTTGCAGCTGAAGTGTTGTGTTCACCTTGCTCAAGGAGAATTGATTAATTTCTATTTTTCTGCTGGGTAACTATTTATAACTGCACATACCTGTATCCAGATCTTAGCATCATGCCTGTTCCACTCTTACCTCTCCCAGCCTGCCTTTCTTAAGTCAAAAAGCAAAATCTCTTTCTTTTTTTTTCTTCACGGATTGCACTTTCTAGACTACTGATTATTTCTATTTAGGTTCTCCGGAGAAAGAAGCTCTCAGCTTTAGCTCCAGACCTACCATTCCTCAGCAGACAAGAAGATTTTTTTTTGTAGTTTGTAGTCAATGCTCCTGTTCATACACACCCAGTGCAAAGCTTGGCTTTTTAAAACCAACACAGCATTGCCCAGTGTAGAGCTACCTCTGATCTAATGATCTGCTCCCCACTTTCTCTCTTCCTACAGCTGCTCATTCCTGCCTACTTCAGTATCTTAGTTTTTTCCTTATGGCATTTAAATCACAGGTTTATCAATAACATTTTGATCAGCTCTAATTATTGTTAAAAATAGCTTTTTTATTTAAAAAAAAGCGCCCTTTATTTCCCTTTTGTTAAGGACATCATCTTAGTAAACTTCACCAAGCATCTCACAATGCAGTAGAAGCAAAGCTTCTACAGAGTAGAGAGACATGATGAAAGCTTAGAGGCTATAATTGTTCAAAACAATTATGGCAATATATGATGCATTTAGACTCTTTTAGCATCTTTTTCCCTATCAAAATACTTGCACTTACTCTAATCTACAGCTCCCTCTGACTCGCTTGCTGTCTCTAGGCATTTTTGTGATACCAAGCCTGATTCTTCCCACCATGACTCAGGGCATGCCGAGGTGCAAGGGAAAGAGATCTCAGCTCTCTGTACAGTTACAGGGATACAGCAGCAAGCTTGGCCCAGCAGCCAGGTCAGTGTCTGAC